TTTCAAGGTAAATGAATGCTTATGTATTCGTCCGTTAGTAGCGTGAAGCTTTGAACACTCTTTGTACGGCAGATTCGGCACAATGTTTTGCCTCATTGCGATGTTGCCTGAAATTTTTGAACAGAAGGGATCACTGCTCATGCTGGTGCAGCAAGACATGTAAGGAGATGGCCTGGTCACAATCCAGCAGTCATATATCGACAATCTCAAGCTATGACAACTTGTTACATGTGTCTGTAATAAAAAAGGGACTTTGCGATGGTGTGGGGAGCTCTTTGAGTGGTGGGACTGTGGAAATCCAGTTTGTTTCGCCCGTAACAAGTTTGTTACGGGCGAAACAACGTCCCTCTGAAACGTTTGGATATGCCTATGCAACACATTTCCTCAATTTCATGAACTGCAAGTATTCTAATCCAACATCACCCCAATCTCAGTGTAAACTAGTCTCCAAATGTGCCTGCACAAGACTGTCACCCCTGTCACCCGGCATTCACATTGCCTTAACCTCCTCAAGCTTGTCGGGGTGTGACACGTGGGCATGAACCTTGTGACAATGGGCATTGTCACAAAGAAACTGGTTGCAATCAGAAATGCATTTTTGCTCATGCCAGGTTACCGACATCGGTTACCGATTACTGGGGACGGTTAACGGATAACGGTTTGCCCGGTAATCCTACCGACCGGTTACCCATCTCGTTAACTGGACCCGTTAGGTCGGAACCGGGCCGGAACCGGCCTGGAGTATGCCGTTGGGAGGTCAACCCCACAGAAGGAGATGGTGTGCCCGATATGGGACCGGAGGTGGACGTGATGACAGGAACTGTAGGAGAGGAACCGGCGGATGATTGGATGGACGACACTCTTGCCCAGTTGCATGAACCTAGCCGCCGGCACCTGCTTCCAGAGCCGGCATTCGCACGGATACGAAAAGAGACGCGTCTACTGTCAGAGGATGAGGAGGAGTATGAGAGTGAGGGTAGTAGCCCGGAGTGCACCCAGCAAGAGGGTGAGGTTGACACAGGGGAGGGGGAGGAGAGTGAGTCCGAATTGTCTGAGGAGGAATTGGATGAGAAGACGGTGGGTGGAAGTGGAAAGCAGCGGAGTGTGCAACAGCACCCTAAGCGCCCAAGTGGTAACAGGCCTGTGGTGATGGAGCAGTCTGCCAGGGGACAGCCGGCAAAGAGGGTAAAGGCTTCTACCTCTGCTCCAGAGTTAGTGGATACTGGCGCGTACGGCCTGTGTGTCGAAGGAGCTAAGACCCCCAGCAGGGGCAGAAGCAGGGGGCGAGGCAGCCAGGAGCAAGGGAAAGGGCTTGGAGCAAAGCCCCCCAGGGGCAGGGGCAGGGGCAGGGGCAGGGGCAGGGGCTAGCATAGCTTGTGTAGCTAGTATTGCCTTTAAGTTGTTGCATTTAAGCTTGTGAGTTGG